ATAACCAAATGACCTTGAAAAATCCAAACTACTGATTTGGTTTTCAAAATTAGGTTAGGGATTTAGATTAAAAGTTGGGGCTAGGATTCAGGATAAGAAATTAAGGTAAGAGTTCTCATCAAGAAATGATATCAATAGTAATATCAGTTATTTTTTACTTGACATCGACATATTTAGACCTACTATGACTTCGAATGTACTAGAAATACTCTGCATTGTTTTCCTTCGTACTACTTAAACTTGTGTTAACTTAATGTCGGTTATTTATTTGCTCTGAAGAAATGGCTTACACTATGTCACAAAACGTCAGAAATATAATTTATCTACTTGTTGGGATATAACAAAAACATATTTATGATTAACTCTCTACCCTATTCTCAATTCATTTGAAACCATTAAGTCCAACTATGGCATTGATACGATATAATTAGTTTCGGCATTACTGCTTTGCATTTAAAAACGGAATGTGAATTTATTGCCATGTAAAACAATTCTTGGCGAGACTATAAATTATGGACTGACAAATCAGATATAAGATAACAGATCTTGAATTTTGGTGAGAAATCCATTCATTCATTTGGCTAAATAGAGTTTTGGCATTTTAGCTGAGGTCTGTTCGTGATAAAAACCCTAAATTTAATTCCTAATCCTAAACATCAACTGTAAATCATAATTTTCATATCTCACATTGTTTTATAACCCTCATTTAGTCCTAGTAAGTAGGTGGACATTATCAAGGTGGCTTTTTAGAAATTTCATGCATTTGGTTCCCTTTATGAATTTAAATAGAGCAAGAACAAACATTGATACAGAATAGTATGAATCCATATTATTTCGAGGTTTCTCGTCAGCTGCTGTAAAAAAATTCTATCACAATTTTGGTTTGTAAGCAGCTGACGAGAAACCTCGAAATAATATGGATTCATACTATTCTGCACCAATGTTTGTTCTTGCTCTATTTAAATTATCAAGGTGATTTTAGTGTCTTTCAAAGGTCGTTCATGAATTATAGTTGCACTCAATTCTCATCATTCTTGTGTTTAGAAGCTTTATCTTCAATGTTTTATTCCCTAGATTATTATAATTTTCATCTTGAGCTTTCATTGTCATTCTGAAAAACATGATGAAATTACTTTAACTCATGGAGAGGTTAATAGCTAGAGGTGGCCTAATTACATGGTTCACCCTCATCATGAAAGTGTATTTTTTGAGAAGTCATTATCGATGACTACTTTGTAATGATTAGATTTGCTATCTCATTGAATGTGTTTTACCAATTATTATTGTTAAAACTATCTTGAATGCTTTCACAATTAAAAAAACACAATCATTAATGAAAACTATACTATAACAATGAGATCGTATATTCACGTGACACAATCGCATTCACTTATTTAACTATTCGATTGAGAATGAGATAATGAACTAGAGCAAAAGTATTATAATATTACACAATACAGAGCAATCGGTAAGTGAAATTAAAAATGGGATGAATTTTACAATATCAGATAGGCTCTTTCATATTTACTGTTGGATAATTTTGTCTTCAATTCTAGACAGGTCACTTGGATTGGATATATCAGACTACTGTCGCCCTTATTTTAAACATAGTAACACGTATCATGAATACTTACAAATAAATTTTTGACATTTTGATTGGATGAAACTTTTCAACACTTATGAGACTCTCAACTGTCAATTCCTCACTGGTTTTTCAAAGTACTTTGAATGGTGTGCTTACAACCCTCTTTATAATTCCATTTTGTTCCATTTATTTAAAGATTGATAAAAAAACTTTATTTTATAGACTGATTTTGTTACAGAACTTCTTATTAAATCATCTCCAGAAAACCATGTGGTATCACTTATTGTGTTTACAAGTGGCCAATTTCGAGTGGTGATTATTCCCGGAATTTTATTGAGAAGCCGTGGTTAATGGAATTCAACTGTATCTGATGTGAAGCACCTAATCACCAATGAGACTAGAAGACGGTCGTGTAATATCGTGAATTGAGTGAAATTAAAAATAGAAACCATTGAAACCTGACTCAGAAATTTGAAAGTTGATCGATTTCTGTGAGGTCTGAAGGTACACGACAGTTGTCCAAGGCTTCCTGTCTTCTAATCATTATCAAACCAAATCACTCTGTGATATGAAATTTCACATTCGAAAATCCACACAACATATCAATAATACGAAAAGCTACTCTTCTCAATACATTGTTCATATTATTTCATTGAAGAGGGAACCCAAATACAAGATCAACGTTAATATCCAAATGATTTTCAAACGAAATCTCGGATTAAAAATAGCCCATCTCAACCCATTATCTATTGTGATTGTTTTCAGATATAATATATCATTCCTGTTATAGAGTTAACAAATAACCTTAGTGCATATATCCCATCGTTCTTACATATTTCCTACCTATATTTACTTGATTTCTTCATTGAATGGTTTATGGAGATCAGTTTAATGTGACAAATGACTAGATATTTTTTATTACATGCATAATCAAGTTATGTAATACTCAATCTATTTTTATTCTCTGCTTTAATTTTACACCACTTTTATTAATTGTATAATCTCTGGTTAGGCAATAGTTCATTTTAGTCATTAATTATGTTAAGATTCCTCTCGCCCTATGTTATCTTTACATATTTTGATTATTATTGGGATAGGATACATGCCTATAAATTTGCAGCGCGTCTACTTCCCATTTCTTTAGTGAGGAAATATGGCACCAAACAGAAAAACGAGACTACACAATATCAATGAAGGTGTTTATCAACTAAGTAACTATAATAATAAACCTTTAGGTAGGCAGATGGAATGTTTAAAATATGTGAATACTGAATAAGGGTTATTTTCATAAAATAGCACTTTTCTCTAAAATTACACTAGCTTATACGGCCATAAATTATGTAAAAAAAAAGCTCACTAGTACAGAGTTTTGTGGATGTTATTAAATTTTGTAGTTTACATGAAAGATTAGTATAACAGCCACTGAAAACTGATAAATACTATTAGTATGTAAGAACTGAAAGTCATAGAAGGATTCAAACGTGCAATTCATTGGTTGAAAATTAATTTCTTTGACATTTGAACCACTATTTGTATTGAAACGTACTGGGTCCAAGTCACAGAATGAATAACAAGAATAGGATAATAGTACATCCAGCTGACGAATACCAAATTGAACGAAACGGATATCCTGCATTCCACTATAGTGGCCATTAATCAGACTCCTATTTGATCGTTTCTGGTTGTTATCAAATGATTGCTGTCAAAATATACACTCCGCCAATCCTTGTATATAATTATTAACATAAATCCCGTTAGTGAATAACGGGATTAAATAAATCAAATACGAGTATGAAGTTTGAATGCGTATATTTCATACAATCGTTGATTTGAACAGATAATCGTTTGCAGAAAAGACGCGAAGAAAGTGAAGAGAAAAGAGCAAAGCGAAATGACGTGCGATGGAGAAAGCATGTAAGCCAACTTGATCTAATCAAACGTTAATCGATACTTATAGTCAGAAATATTCATAGACCAAAAACAAGTTACAGACATGTGACGAATAGGGTAAGCAATACACGCCACAAAACATCCATATAAAAACAGTTAGTATTAATAAGCGAATAATTAACAAGCTCAAAATGTGGCTCAAGAAGGGCGAATAAATTGGCCTGTCTGGAAGTTAGAACAAGCTATGGGGGCTTGACATAGCACCCGATACTACATAATATCTGACACTGAGTACATCAACCCACGAAGTCATTGTCGATGAACTATTTGAATGTGTGATATCATATATTACAATTATGCCAACACCAGCCTGTATAGAAAATCATGTCTTTGATCATAATTAAATGCTCCATTGATTCCCTAAACAATAAAATGACAACACGCCATACCAAGTGGATAAGTTTTAGGCAAACAAGAATTGAAATGATTCAGAAAAGCTCTTTCTATTATGATTATTTAACAAAATAGAAACTGGAAGATAATTCTCATCATTGACTAACATCAGATGTAGAACAAACAGTTCAAACTATCAAACAGTACTAAACACTTGTCTCATCTTTGCTTGAGACTCAACAGTTGGGGATATACATGACAACACATAAGATTAGTGTTAATTTAATTTGTAACAAATACGATATGTGAAATTAATTGAGCATTGTAAATCTCTTACATAACAAAAACTAAAAATTATCATGAATCTTTCAAGGACAAATTATTCAGAATACAAAACTTAAACTATTCAATATATGTGATGAAATTAGCTCACCGTTCACGAACAATCGGATATAAAAATGATTCATCTTTATTATCCTGTTGTTCCTTAACGAAATGTTCGTAATTTATTTGAGAACAATCATGATTCAAAACAAACATATTCCCAAATGGCAATTTAGAATCACAAAGAGTACTGTGAAAGGTTTCTTTTTGGCATGTATTTTATTAGTGTATCTCAGTTATCTATATACCAATCATAAACATTTTCATAAAGTCATATTGTGGGCGTGAATAAAACAATTTCAAGGTGAAAAATTCTATATGATAATTGGTTAAAATGAGTGCCGGTTATAGAAGTAACCTTGAGGTGACCTTAGAGAGAAAGTAAATATGACAATAAAACTTTTCTTAATTCAAAATTAATGAGATTTGAAAAAAAAATTATATGAATTCTTTAGGTGGAAACTTTCCTTTGGTAAAAAGAAAGAAAATTTGGGAGTTTTCTATTGTGACTTTAAAATAAACAGGTTCTTTTAATGTTGTAAGATTAACTATTGAAACGGATGCCTTGATATTGAAAATAGAATTAGGACAGAAAACATGCTTAACAATTCTGAAACTAGAAGTTTAAAACTATAGAAAAATAATGACAACTGTATGACAAGAAACGACAATCATATAACATTTGAAGTGTTGGATAGTGTTGTTCTGTTTATAACAATGAAAATAAAATAAAGATTACTGTACTCACCCTGAAGCTATAGGTCTTCGAGGAATCGGTACATTGTCTGGGGTGAAATCCCATTCGACTAGTCCGGAAAACCCTGTTAAACTTGGAGCACCTGCCATACCGAGTTCAGCATAATCTCGACTTATTCGAGTTTCAGACAATCCAACTTCCTAAATTGGAAAAGAAAAGAAATAATATATGAACACAAATGAGTAATACTTACAGAAAAAAGATTTAGATTTCATTGATTAAAGAATACTACTGTAATTACACATAATACAGCTTACCCGATCTGAATTTATGAACACCTTAATTCATGTCATCTGTTATTAACGCTTTATAATATACATCTCGAAGTAACATCAGTTAAAAGTCAAGAAATTACTAGGAAAATGTATTTTCTTCATCTAGAGTATGTTCAAAAATATGTTACTCAAGGTATCGATTACTCGAATGACAGTACCATTCAACTTGAAACTGTTTGTAAAAAACGTTCCTATTTATTGAAGGTATGTAGTCTATTTATTTAATAGGTAGTTAGATAATCAACATTCTGCCATATTGCATCTGGTGAGACTACCTGACTACATAAACCAAATCAGGAATCGTAAAACTCAAATCTATCAAACAAAGTCTTCTGAAGACCGAGATACTGTTTCAGTACTGATGCTGTAAATCAGCTCAGAAATTACATTTTATAGAAATTAAAAGGAGTACACTGAACATTTAACATTTCAAAAAACTGGGCAGACTTGATATAGTTATCATTTTATCCGATGAATAACCAAGACTATAGTTTATACTGTCCTTATATGGTCATACAAGTAAGGAAATTACAATAAACATTTCCTTCATCAAAAGATATAAGAAAAATAGAAAAATACATCAAGTTGTATTCCAATATAAGAAGTAATCATCGCAATAAATGAATGCATCGATTAGAATGCATGAAAACTTTGAAGAGGATAGATCTTATCCTTAAAGCCAAGATACCATGATATGCAAATTAATGTCATCAACATTTACTAATCCTGTAAATTATCAGACAAGACATGTTATATTATGAATATTATGATTATTTAACGATATAAGGGAATACAAACGAATTTATACTCGTCATTTCATCAACAAAATATAACAAACATCGTAGGGAAAAAATGAACTACATTCAATTAATACTACTTTGGTCAACACCTAATAACTGAGGTGATGTTCAAATGTTAGGCTTATATATACATATATATAGCTATAAGATTATGTAAAATTGACCGTAGTCATGGTAAAATAAAATTAGTTAGGAGCAGCTGCTATACGAAATAATGCTAATTGCCCACTGATGTTGATTATTGGATTGAGATTGAGCTAATGTCCACAAGATAACTACAATTAACAATCGAAAACGTGAGACAAGATAGCTCAAGTGGTATACACTTACAATGTTTTATCTACTCTCAAGTATTTTGAGCTATAATTGTTGGGATCTAATCGTACCAGTACTAATACGACCAGGTAACGTTACCGTAACTTTTCACAGTTTGGTACTATCATAACATTCTTAAAACAGGGATGCCCTGTAATTAACACCTACTCCCGTTGGTCACCGTGTCACTGAAATACGAGATATATAGTTTCAAGTGCGAAACCAAAGGTTCCAGATCTGATTCTCGGTCACTAGATCGCGGATGAACACTATTAAGTACAAGGGCAAAATGAAAGTTCAATGATTCAAAGTTCTCACTGACTATTTCAATCACCTGATTGTCCTTAGCTACAAAACTCCTCATGAAAGTTCATTCTTCTCTTGATCACCGGTTTCAGTATTCTTACTGGAGAGTTGAGAATGGATAAAGTTCAATAGCAGTTAGCTGCCTCAATGGACTCAGTAGTATTATTGAGATCAAATGAATTCATATCAGTAACAAGTTCCCTACTTCCTATTCCTTGGTAGTATTCATTCTGTATGGTAGAATTTTCATTAATAATTGTATTATTATTATTTTCTATTCCTTTGACGTGCATATTGTTGATTACTTTTCCTTTTGTTTATGTCAAGTGCAATAACTCAAGCGTAGAAAATTCAAACCAGATCCCATATTGTCTATAATATAATGATTAAGTATATGGAATAGGAGTCAAGTCTAAAACACATCAATTAGTTGAAGATAAAGAAGTAAGTAATCGATATGAAATTATTGTCTTGTTATATTCTATCATATTGAACAAATTCAATAAAACCTGCCTTGATTCTAACAACACCGTTTGTGATAAACAATTGAATTACAACTACTTAGATACTGTTTTTTACGAAAATTTTAAAAAATGATAGAATCATATACAGTAATTAAAGAAACGTGATCAGAACATTAAACACTAATAAAGACTAATACAAGCGGATAATCTTACCCTGGTACCATAATTTAAATGTCCATCACGCCAATTCAGTGCGTGAGCATTTTCGGCTGTTGTGCCTTCATGTATACTATCTTCACCTGAGTAGATCGATGAATAAATAAATAAAAACATAAATTGAATATGAAGCAAGAAAACTGATAGACTCATAATGATTTAAGGGTAATAATCAGTATCATCAATAATTGTAAGAGAAGCAAGCGTGGGAAGTTAATGTTAACAAAAAATAAAATTCAGAGGTAAGCATTTGAATGTTAGGTTAGTGGAGATAATTGATGACGCTGGGCGTAGGCTTCGCACTAATTGTTACTTATCAGCAAAACTGGATTTTTAAAAACCGATGTTTCTTATACAACAAGAACCTGGGTCGCTCAGGCTTACGGTCTGAGACATGGTCACTGTGCGTAGCGCACACGGTGTCAAGGTATATAGACTAATGGCTACATTGCAATTTGATTGATATAATTCCATCAGTAACAAAGGACTAGACAAAAATGATATTACAAGTTGAAATCATGAGCCAATTGAAGCTAGACCACCATGGAAAACCTGAAAGCACTGGACGGCCGTTTCGTCCCAGTATGGGACTCCTCAGCAGTGCGCATCCACGAACCCGCCCCCCGCGGGATTCGAACCCAGGACCTACTGGCTTCGCGCGCGAGACCACTGAGCCGGCACCCAACGGTGTTAATGTCTAACTTCAACCAATCCACGAAGTTGCGCCACCGTACACCATTGTCTTCAGTGAGTTCCTATCTCACAACAGACCTGGTTGAACTCCACTGGTAACGACTTCTCACTAGAACTCCAGGAGTGTCTCCTGAAGTCAGTCACTAGTGAGCAGGTGATTATTACTATCAGAATGGGTTTTGTGGAGATTTTTAGAAATTTCACAAGTTGAAATCATGATTCCAACTTGTGAAATTTCTAAAAATCTCCACAAAACCCATTCTGATAAAAATGATACTAGTTAATTCTCAATGATCAATCAGTTGCTTAGCTTCCTCTCTTAAACTTTATTATTGTCCAACTTCTTTTGATCCCCACTTTTTATTTAACAATAAAGACAAGTTATAAATAGTTCCACCGTAAAGTTAACTTCTTAGTTTACTGATACGTAAAATTTGATCATGAGTGATTGCTTCTAAAACACTGAGAAATGATCAAATAATTTAAGTTATAACATACGAAATATAGTAAATTTGAAGAAACGATATTGGCTTATTCTGACCTTCATTTTCACCAGATTTCAGTGATTATCTCCATATATATATATATATATATATAACATAGGATCAAAAAACCAGTAGGATTATGAATAAACGTGATTTAAATACTTTTATGGAACAGATGGATTATGGCTAGTAGTGGGATTCAGGATACTTGTTCAGTCTTATTTGGGACTCATCAGTTAGATATACCTTTCATGATTTATTTATTTATTATTATTAGCTTTATTCAATAATATATATATATATATTATCAGCACAAAGTATTTCAGCGCGTTTCCGTTTCCTATTTCTTGATCGATCATTGCGATAAATATTGAGTGATCACAAGCTAGATATCAACATTTCAGAAGTCGATAGCTGAATAACATTCATTCTTTTCAATGTGTATTGCTAGCCATCATGATGTCTCCGATTGTACATTTTTGTAACTTGTACAGAGAAAGGTCATAAACTTTTCACAAACGCACCTGGATAGGTTATGCAATTAATCGACATAACGATGTGTTAAAACAAACAAGAAGACAGATAACTTGTTGAAATATCTAGGCGACAGGAACAGGAAGACCAGATATTCTAATATAAACTTGTAACAAAATAGCTTTACCGAGGCAGACCACACAGAATTCAAACATGCCAACTGAAACCGATAAAATTTCAGTGGAAAACATCAACGTCAAGATAATTTAAACACTTTCTAAGTTCAGTGATAATATCAAACAATTATTCAGTATTTCTTGATTTCCAGTCATTATGTAAGTGAAATCTGCCTGTGATGTGAAGTGTCTCTATTAGGTGAACAACTTCTACAAAACGCCTTTTCAACAACATTGATACACCGAAATCGCAAATCGATCTAAGCAAGATCATCACTGGAAACCTGAAAGCACTGAACGATCGTTTCATCCTAGTATGAAATTCCTAGATAGTGTGCATCAGTGGTCCTGCAAGCGAGAATAAAATCCAGAAACTTTAGTCTCGTGCGCGAACGTTTAACCCACAAACCACTGAGTTGGCATTCAATGATATTAGCGTCTAACTTCAACCAATCCACGATATTGCACGACCATCTTACATTATCTTCGATGGGTCACTGCCTCAAACCCGACACGGTCGAACTCTACAAGTCACGGCTTCTCTAAAAAAATTCGGAAATCTGCTCTGAAAGCCAGTCACTATAGAGCACATGAATTCAATCATATTCGATAATCACTACGACCCATTACTGACAATTCTGAAACGTTTTGAAAATATCAGAAAAAGAAATGAACTACAAAACAAAAATTAAAAGATTGAATGAAGTAACATCATCACCTACCTGATACATTTGATAATTTATCTGGAGCTATTTTAACGTGATTCACACCACCACTACGATGTCCATAATGCTGTTCATCAGAATGTTTGTTATCTGATTTGTGATGAGATTGTGGATGATGTTGAACATATTGTTGTTGTTGTGGTTGTATGTGTATTTGTTGACTAAGGCTCTGTCTACTTTGTGCACGTGAAAATAATGGTGATGATGGCATAATTGTGAAATCCGGTTCAACTAAAGTAGAAAAATCAATAAATATTCCACCAACTGTAGTATACAGAAGTAAATAAGGCAAGTTGAAGTGAAAAATCAGAGTATAATACATACAACAGTAACTACGACTGCCACTACTACTACCAATACAAATACTAATACATTGCCTAGAATAACATTACACTAAGACGACTAGATAAGTAGCAATGTTTCTTATAACTATGATGATAGACAACGTGAATAGTGTTTATTAAGTTATTGAGCACTGTTTTTCAATTAGGTCTGTTGATGAAACGCACTGGTACACTCTAACAGGTAGGTAAATAAGTATATAAATTGTAAATTGTTCATAATTATAGTGAATTAGTGAAAATTTTAATATAGGATTCCTCAGAAGTGCAGATCCACGACTCAAGCACTGATCGAACCCACAATTTTGAAACCATATGATGAGTGCTCCTTATTTATCAATTATAATTTCATTAATCATTGAATTCAAAAGTATCATATTCTAAATACAATATTCCTTAAAACAAAACTGTCCAACTATGACAAATTAACTTTTCATATTCAATCTTTATAAGGAATCGTTACCCCTTCTCATCAGACGCACATCGAGAAATCATTATTATTACTGCATTTCTCCCTATACTTATGTCTCATATACTCATTATTTTATTCGTGATATGACTTCATTTATTTCGCACCTCTATTACCTTTAATTACCTATAATTATTGTAACACAAACATTTTAATCATCTTACTACATTCACGTTATAATTCGTTACTAACTTATTATGTCTACTGTTATTATTCGTATTACGTAATCTAATATTATAATCTTTCTATTACATCATCTTGGTTATTCCTTGTTCACATTTCCTCACGGAATTAGTACTTTAACAAAAATATTTTCATATATACGATAATACAGCTTGATAACAAATTCGTTGAAAAGAGATCCCTTCGCTGGACTTCATATTTTTAATATTTAAATAACTGATCATTCAGTAGTAATCAATGTCATGCTTGTTTATTCCTTCAGTTTTTAATCATGACTCTACACTAATATATATATGATTTAGAATAATGAAATAATATTCATCGAGTAGATACGTTATGCAATAATTATATGATGACATATCGATTATAAATTAACATTGAGTAATTGGAAGAAAGAGGGTTAATAATAACCAAAGTAATTATTCGAAAATCAAGTAGTTGCTACGTTGCATAATATATAAAAAAGGGAAGGAACTAACAAAATATTTTGATGAATGGTCAGTAGTAGTTATGTAGGAATCAAGAAACAAATGTTGGGAATAAGTAAAATACTAAAAATACAAAAAATGGAAGTTTATCAAAGTTCTGCTACGAACTCCCCCATACCGATGGCCAAAGTAGCTAGAATGGTTGTGCAAACTTCTTTTGGATGCAAAGGTTAGGTTTGTGAACATGGATTGTAATGGTTTCAACAATGTGCAAAAGACGCACTCGTAAACCATGTGACAAATTTGATGGAATATGGTGGATAACCTTAAAAGTTTTATTTAGTTCAAGTTGATGATTTGTGTCCATCACGTGAGCGAGAATAGAACTCTTAATCACTCTTACCTGCCCTTTGCTCAACCACGACGGATGGTGTTCTGTTATACGATGACGAACTTGCCGAATTGTACGCCCTATATAACTGGCTCCATAGGAGCAGCTAAAACGATAAATACACATGGATGTGACGAATTCAAACAATCTGTCTTTACTAACTGTTTTTATTGTGTAGCGGTTGTAGAAGGCGGCACTCAGTTTGGCTGCATTAAATGTTTTTTGTACCGCCTTCCCTGACCTCTGAGTCACAACCTCTTCAGCAGTATCATTTAGGAATTGTTATTTTAAGAACAGTAGGTACCCTTGTCCTTATTTTCATCTCCTTCATGTGTTTGTCGATGAATTTAGTTGGGTATACATTCCTACTAAGCAAGTTACGTATATTAAACAATTCATCTACAATAATGTCATCTTAGCAAATCATTCTAGCACGATGAGTCAGGATTTTTATCAAGTTTCTTATGTATCTGATCGGTACGGCACTATAGGAACGAGTGTATCGTCCAGATGTAGACTTTCTGTGTGACCCTCTTTTTAAAGTTCCATCTGCTCGTCTAGTTAGTTGGACATCTAAAAATGATGTTATTGTTTTGTTCTTCCTCTAGTGTAAGTTAATTGATGGGTGAATATTATTAATTTTCGAAAAATTACTTTGATTATTATTAGCCTTCTTTCTTCCAATTACTCAATGTTAATTGATAATCAATATGTCATTATATAATTATTGTGTATCGTATCTAATCGATGAGTATTATTTCATTATTTAGACCATATTTATATTATTGTAGAACCATGATGAAAAACTAACTGAAAAGAAATTTCTTCGCTCGATTCGTTCCTTGTTTATTTACCAAATATCAAAATGGGAATTTCCACGATATTCCTTTAGTGTCTATCGGATTCTGTCGATTAAATTGTAGTGTGTGCGTTAGTCAAAATGATATCAAGTGGAATATGTTCGGATGTTTGTTAGATGCTCTTGACATAGATTTTGTGCTAGTTAATATTCATTAGAATTTTCTGCTAACTACCTTCAACTCCTTTACAATAAACAGCTTTATTAAATAACATACATCGAAATAAAAATATCACCTAAAAAGCCAAAAATACGGTGTAACATACTACATTCTTCTTCAGTATCTGTAATTGGATTATCTCTCATCATGTCTGGATGTTCAAGGCCAAGTCGATTAGCAGAGATATGCTGTTGTCTACTCAAAGAAGAATTATGATACTCTGGACCAGATGATATAGATGATGCCAATTCTGCATTCATTGGCAATTCATCAGTATTTTCATGCTCCCATGATTCTACACATGTAGTCACCTGACATAATGCTTCAAATATATTTAAATAATGTTGATGACGAGCAACATGCGCTGGTGTCCAACCATACTAAAAAGAAAATAATAGTTATTATTATTATTATTATTATTATTATTATCATTATAGAAATGACAGTATAACATTAAATAAGTATTAAAAATATTGTGGTGTAAAATGAATTCATAAACAGTTTCCAAAATTTAAAATGAAAATGGAAAAGTATATATAAGTAGCAGATTTCCCTAATATCTATGAGTGTAAATAAACAGAGGTATTAGGTATGAGAAATCCTATATACAATAAACGAACAATCATTGTGTCATATCCACACCATAATTGATACAGAATAAACCAGAGGAAGGTTTTTTAAGGAATGGTGGTAATTCAGATAATGCTGGAGATATTTTATTTATTCTCAAGTCTGTATGATGAGATGTAAATGTGAACAGAGCACTGCGTAAACTCTCGATTAGTCGGAACGCTACCACATAGGCTAATAAATGACATTCCATTAGAATCTTAGATTAATGTTTTGCTCACGAGTTGTAAGCACAATATCTGTCTTACAGGAGATCAACTGCTGCCCTATTAGCTCAGTAGTGTGAAGTTAGGTGACTCAGGTTTGAATTTTATAGAGATTACCAGTTATCTCAAGGTTGCAAATAGGCTTTTCTTGACGAGTGCCAGCTTGTACGAAAACCAGATTCGGGGTTTCCTGTCGACTACATTTAACCTTATGACAATACCTTTGTTATTACTATTAGCATATTTCATAGATATTTTTATTTACATTGTTGGCATCAACCAGCATTTTATCATACACTACATCAGCGACTATTTAACACTTAACTGACCTAGGTCTACCGATGTACATATGTACACGTATAATACCACATCTAAATCTGAATAGTACATTAATAAACCAATCATACTCAGATGATTGAACAGCTGAAACTATTTCTACATTTACAACAAAATAAAAATAAATGTCGGCTCAATGGTCTAGTAGTTAAGCGCTCGTGTGCGAGACCGATAGGTCCTGGGTTCGAGCCCCGCGTGGTGTGGGATCGTGGATGCGCACTGCTGAGGAGTCCCATACTAGGACGAAACGGCCGTCCAGTGCTTCCAGGTTTTCAATGGTGGTCTAGCTTCAACTGACTCATGATTTCAATCTGTGAAAATTTCTAAAAATCTCCACAAACCCCTTCTGATAATAATCATCTGCTCACTATTGACTGACTTCAAGAGATACTCCTGGAGTTCTAGTGGGAAGCCGTTACCAGTGGAGTACGACCAGGTCTGTTGTGAGATATCAGCTCACTGAAGACAATGGTATATGGTGGCGCAACTTCGTAGATTGGTTGAAGTTAGACATTAACACCGTCGGATGCCGGTTTAGTGGTCTAATGGTTAAGTGCTCGCGCGCGAAACCAGTAGGTCCTGGGTTCGAGCTCCGCGTGGTGCGGGGTCGTGGATGCGCACTGCTGAGGAGTCCCATACTGGGACGAAACGGCCATCCAGTGCTTCCAGGTTTTCAATGGTGGTCTGGCTTCAACTGACTCATGATTTCAATCTGTGAAATTTTTTTAATGAATAAATACATCAATTTTCACTAAATCTACACACCAATTGTCACTTCTTTCAGCTGTAGTATTAAACAAATAAAAACAATTAAAGACAGGAATACTAGTTAATAATATATGTATATGATATTAAAAGGATTTGATTTGATAAATTTACATAAAATGATCATTGAGATAGCTTGTTTTAATAATACAATTGTCATATAAATACATATATCAAGAGTATTTTACTTAGTTCTCCTTACAATTAACACGACTAATTAGTCACTGTATTCATTAAAAAAGAAAAATACATAGAAACAAGAATAAACACGATCAGTTCTATATAGATATTTATTTATGGTGAAATTCAATTACATTGTTGACCTTGTTTTATATGCATTTCAAAATTACTAACATGATAGACACGTATGTAATATACGTGAAAATATGAAATTATATTAAGTGGAATAAAAGTGGTTGGTAGTTCAACAACTAGGTGTTTTATACCTAATAGTTTGGATACAGTATATAACTACTGTATTATACATAATTGTGAACTGGTTTTATTGATTAATTAAAGTATTTTTGTTGGGTATTGTAATAATAATAATAATCCGTGTAAAATTTTAAGTTCAATAGTTGAAAAAACATACAGGAGCGGTTACATATATTTTTTCCAATGTTCAATATATGTGTCCTATATATCATTTTCAAGTATTTTCCGTTCATCTCATGGGTGTGTATTGTATAGAAGAGGGGAATTTTCAATGAGAATTTCGTTTAGAACCATAATTCCTACTTTATCAGTCTTTTTTCATACAACATGTTGAAATGCGTCACACTGCAGTATTTATAGCAAACAGATGTCAATGGGTTCACTAAATGGATGGAAACGCTAGACACTGTTCACTTGTTGAAAATATTTTACTGGGATCTCGATGTGAAGTCGTAGGTACCCACTTACTGGAAAAGTCAGGCTAAGATGAAACAGCTGTCTGGAATTCTCTGGTTTTCAACAACTCTTTAACGAAGATCAGTCTATGATGTCAACTATGTGACCATAGTAATCTAGTTTATTCCAGAACATTGTTCCGTGAATTTCCTAGCTATATATATATATATATATATATATATATATATATATATATATATATATATATCATTTTGACTTATTAGTAAGTTAAAAGGATGATTGTTACGGTATTGAACAGACAAATAAAACTATCTGTTATTGACGGAGAGACTATCTAAAAAACCTAATTACATCTGTAGACTAAACTTAATTCAAGTTAAGCAGTAAGTATACAAACAAATTTAAAACTAGTTTCAAGTTCGTTGTCTAAAAATATAATCCTATATATCAGTGACGAACTACATGTACGCAATTTTAAAAACTAATACATTTTGTTGGATCAGATTTCTTTTTTGACGATAATCAATAAACCACAATATAATTCTGGAAGTATTTAATTCAAGAGTTTATTATTTTCAGAATGGTGATTTGTGAAGATTGTACTTGTTTTAAGAGTTGAATTCCTGAGTCGATCTAAGCAAGACCACCATTAAAAAACTGGAAGCACTGGATGGCCATTTCGCCCTTGTACGGCACTCATCAGTAGTACGCGTCCACGATCACGTACACGAGACTCGAACACAGGACCTTCGGTATCGCACTCAAACAATTAACCTCTAGACCACTGAGCCGGAATCCAACGGTATTGATGTCTATCTTCAATCGATCCATGATCTTTTGAGACCCTTCATCCATTGTCTGAGGTGGATAACTGTTTCCATCCGACATGAGTTGGACTCCACTGGTCACGGCTTCTCACTAGAGAAATGTAATTAGTTGGAGTTAACACCAACACTGGGATGCAGGTACATTCAGCTGATTAGTCCCAAATGTGACAAAACACGTGCCCTGGATTTTACCGCTGGCCACCATCCATTTTTGCCAATAAAGTTTGAAAGATACTTTTGATTTTATTGAATAGGAATCAGCGCATTAATTTAAGAACTAATTGAATAGTTTCTTTTGGTGTGAAGTTATTATTTTTGAATGTTTCCTCAGAAGAAAAACAATTTTGATATAATATGTTGTTCTACTGATAGACTAAGGTGTTTCTTGCCGAACAGCAATTCAAGTATGGATTGTCATCATCAACGAATAGGTCAGCCTCATGTTGATTTTGATAAACAAAACTTTTTTTTGACTGATGAATATCTTGAAGTTTGTCTGTTCATATCCATTGTCATATAATGGAAGTAGTGTGATATCATTGCTTTTTTGATGCAACAGAATTATATACTGAAGATTAAGATGAAAATTTAATAGGAAATATCATAAATATACGTAATTAATCACCTTGTTACGCATATTTGGATTAGCGCCACTTTCTAATAAAATGTAAATAACTGTCGAATGACCTTGTTGTGCAGCTAAATGTAAAGCATTTGATCCCATACATGTTATAGCATTCACATCAGCACCTTTGCCAAGTAAAAATCGAACCATATTTACCTAGTGGAAAGAGATAATACAAAATACATCATAGGTAAAAAATTTAGTGTTTTCGTTATTAACTCATTTACCAGATATAGAGAATTATTGTACTTTGCACCGAGGTACACTTCAAGCGTTAGAAAGGAAGAAGCTATTCGGTTTACTAAGGTCGATAGGGTGAGAGTTAGAATCTGGGGACAAGTGACTGGAAGTTTAACGCTTTGATCGCTAAGCCACAGCTTTACGAGAGTTTAAGAAGACTAGTAAAGTAACCAGATGATCGCTTGGAATGCACTACACCATGCTTAAACTATTCACATCAAGAATTCTTAACGACAATATATTAAGCCAGCAAGAAAAGTTAATATTTACATTATGATGTTAGTTGTTTTAACCGATTTTTGATCGTTCGAAGTTTCAGACTGTTAGACGATTATTGGTTGGGTTGAACTTTTGTTTGTTAAATGCATTACTCTCACTATAGACTGATATAATCTGGTGAACCACTGAAAATAAGACAACACTGGACATATCTACTTTGAATAACTGTGAAATTACTCATCAGAACTCAACCACAACCCTGTTTGACGTTAGATAAATGGTTTGTTTACCGTACAGTAATCAAGATACGTTTAACAACGGAATTTGGATTTAAAGGTTTACAATTTCATTTCTCTAAGTAAACCCATCATTAGACAATATCAGGGGTATGACCTAACTACACAAGTCACATAGTTTCTCACTAGAACTTGATCAGAACCATTTTAGAGGTAGTCACCGGTGAACATATGATTATCACATCGTTTAGGTAGATTATGGCTTATGGTTTGAAGACGGTTTTCAACATAATCCGCTATCAATTGGGGAATTACTCAATACTCATGAAAAATCAGACCTATGAATGAACTACTGAGTAGTTATTCATAGACTAGTTGTTGCTTTTAAATTGTTTACTAAATGAAATTATTCAGCAGACAAACTCTATCTTTTCAAATTGATAATTTGATAGCATACAATAAAATTGCTTTCATTTGACTCCTCAATTTCATATGACTTATCATTCCTTAAAAGTTATCCAAACATAAATAGTTGCACACACATAAACAGAGGAATTAGGAGCAACGTAAGATAGTTATGATATGAAATCGCTTTGATACTATATATATATATATATATATATATATTACTCACTTGACCAAAATGGCAAGCTGTATGTAAAGGAGTATATCCTGCTTTTGTTTTCAAATCTAACTCAGAACCAGCGTTAAATAATAATTCTGCAGCTTTAACACTATCCTCTTGTGCTGCTAAATGCATTGCTGTAAGGCCATTCTAGACATAAAAATAAATAAATAAATTGTAAGTTTAAATTAAATATTGAAAATTAGTTATTTATTGTACAGACATGAGACAGTAAATTGTTGTCAGATGATTTTATTTTAATAAGCCCTCATACTGATATATATTCTCTACAAATAATTAACATGAGTCCCATATGATGACGAAACAACCGTCCAGTGCATTCAGGTTTCCAATGGCAATCTAGTTAAGAAGATCACTTCATGATTTCAACTGTGAAAATATAAGTGATTAGTTTGATAATTTAGTAATGCAGTCTATCAAATGCCAATAAATCTAGTGTTGTGAATAAAAATTCGCCTTAATAATGATGTGGCGTATGCTACTTATGTCGACAGACGGAAATTTTGACCACCGCAATAGCGACTGTTTAAAGAGGGAACGAGTGTGGTGTATGCTACTTACGTCTGTCGACATCAGTAGTATGTAACACCAAGCACAAGTGGAACGCTTGACATCAGAAAGTTGGGAAGATCGTATCGAAGAGAACGGGAACAGAGCGTAATTGTAATAGCAATAAAGGAACGATGAAGATTCAAACAATCGATGGGGGATTTGGAAATGAAATATTTAATGTATGGACTTCACAATAAATTGGTCTTCTCCACCTGTATTTCCGTTTACAACAATGAGATTAGAAGAAAAAGAAAACCATTGTACTGAGAACTAAAACAACTTATCTTTTATAAACAATATATGTAACTGAAACTCTACAACTCTTTTAAATATCACATAATATATACGATTAATAGTGGATTAAGGCAAAAATTATAAAAGGATTTGGTAAAATCGTACTTCTGCTCATTTGGACGCCGAGTTATGTTCACTAGGAATAAATCTACGATTAGATCGACAAACCATTCAGTAATAGCATTGCTAAACACCAGGTACAATTTCATACTGAAGGTCTACAAAGTGGTTTTTTAAAAGCGAATAGAACATGACTACTTGGAAAGTAAGGTCGGTAAGTGGCTAAATAATTCTGAGATGAACTATGCTTCTCAGTCAAGTCACTTAGTTTGCAAACTATTTACACACATCTAGTTACTGATCAACTGCTAGTTTTATTCCCTCATATTTATTGTTTGATTGAACATTGTAAATGATCCTTAGTTTTTACTACAATCATTGTAGATGTCGTCTAATGAGTGATTGGTAAATAAATTAATCTTCCTTGAGCTGCAATAGGTAGCAGATAACGGTTATTCTGCAGTCATAGTGAACAGCTATATCTCAGTAGTCGTAATCAGCATTTAATTCGACTCACAACACTAATAAATCAATCTTGTTTCAAGTCAAAATATTTTTAAGATGCCTATTTCAGAACGATGTCAACTGACTTGAAATTGTTGCCTATGCAGCAAATGAAGCCAATTAAAATTTCGTCGACACGTCTATATGCTACAATCTACGCGACGTCGTCAGCTGTGTAGATTCCTTATCATATTTCGGATTTTTTGTATGATTCACTTGATGGCATTATTTTTTATTTTTGGCTCAAAAGTTATGAAGGTATGATCAGATTTAGATTTGAATATAAAGACAGCGCGTGGAAGTTACAATTACTGCTATGCAAACGTGGCATCAAACAGCATAAAAAGTACTCAAATCTCATACTGTCATGTCAGCCAAGGGACCAAAAATCTGGAAATACGGTAAAAACACTGACAAAAGTTTTAGAGATCAGTCTAGACTTTTCAACACATGAAATAGGTGCACGAAGCCTACTAAATGAGAATCTAATGATCATAACCCTTGTGCAGGTATGTTTAACAGACAATGTGAACGCTTTAAGTTACAATCCTTCTCTGACGACCAATTCAAATATCTACATTCTCCCAAAAAATCCAAGTAACCTCACATATAACCACAAGATATGAGTGGCATGGTTATAGTTAAAAACGTTAACAATCAACAAGCAAAAGATTTTACTACTCAAGAGTACAACAAGTCAAGCTTTCCTTTTTGAATGAATACTAATAAGATTATAAAGCACAATGAAATGCAGTCCATATGGATTATGAATTTACATGAACCGGGGTATAAACTTTCTCAGCTTTTTCCTATTAGAATCTCAATAAAATTTCGTGAAATTTGTGATTCACTGATCCAAAACAATCTATTTAGATTATATTAACGATATAAGGTTGAGAAGTGTCAGTATTCCATCATTAAAATATAGATCTCCATTAATCTACCGAATAAAATATGCAAGCTAATCGAAAACTAAAGCGAAAGTACTAAGTATTTCTAGGAAACGTCCTTTATTGAAACCACTGGATTTAAAGTATACATTGTAGATTTAACAGAATTTCCGAAAAGTACATTTACAAGAACATTATAATAAAGTTATACTCTTTAATCCAAAATGAGATCATGAGATATGAAAAAATTGTTGACATTTTATTGTAAACTTCATATGCATTTACTGATGGATCTAGTTGTATTGTTTAAATTATTAGACATGTTCAACCTCTATCGTTCAAAAAGCGATAAAAGAGAACGATTAGAACATTTAGACTTGAATATGAAGTGAATTCTGGAAAGCAAACTGATTTCGGTAAGCAGATTTTAAAAGCTATCCATTGTACGTCACTTATTGTATGTTATATATAAGTAATTAAAATTTTAATTAGAGCAAATTTAACACGTATTTGCCCTTAACACGTATTTTACCTGTGTTCAGCATTTTCATCACCAAACATTTTGATTCAGATTAAAAATACAACTTGTGAAATTAATATCTCCACAACTTAAATAACATTTTTACTTAAATTTTATTACTGAAATAATAACCCACTGTTACCAATTGATGTTATTAACTGTAAAAATGTCTTCTAACTATTATGGTCTAATGCTGTATATGTAAGCAAATATGCTGTTTTTAATATTTCTTATCTTAATTTCAATAGTTATTCATTCTAAAATTAAATAAACTCTATTAATAAACTCACTACTACTAGTATTTTGCACTTGAAAAAAAGTTAGCAAACTCATATTCTAGTGTACACTCATGGAATAAGAAGATAAAGGAAATGAATGCATTTTATTGTGAAATTAGTTCAACTACTGAACGCTATTCTTCACAAGTATTTAAACACATGTATTTTTTAAAACTCATCTAACTACTATAATCAAAATAAGTAGTTAGAAATTGAAATGTTATTAAATTGTAGTTATTAAATCATATTAATTTGTATCTGAGTAGTTAAGTGTATAGATTTACTAATTAATTTATCCTACATGCACGTGCAAAGATGTCCCAAAAAGTGCTTAAGAATTCAAGAATTAGGATACACCAGTGAATGTGTATACTAAGTTACTACATTAGCTGGACTCTTTGAATCTAGACAATAAGGTGAATAAATTTATAAATAACAACATTTCTAATATAACTGTATAGAGATGTGAGTTACATTCAGTGTAGTGGGGTGTTATAACTAATATAAAACTGAAATTGGACTAAATATTTGTAATGGTGTATGAAGTTCGACTTACATTAACAGTTTTGAATTAACTGTAAACAAAACTGTAGTTGGAATAACATCATTCGCATGCCAACAAAAAAATTATAACATAATACTACAGTCATTATGTGTAAAAAACGAAAATTTCAAACCACTATTAATAAATTCTTACACGTTGAATAGATTAGCAGACATCTGAACTCAATTGTTCAATAGAGAGAGAAGTATAAGGTCGAAGTTTCAGTGTAAAAATCAACTTTGGGATGTAGGTATATCCAGTCAAAAAGTCTCTGATAAGAAATAACATCCGTTCTCAATTCCACCGCTAACCACATACCAAATATACCAACATTTATGACATAACCCTATCTCAAAATAATATGCTCGCGATGTTCATATGACAACAGCAACTGATAAATTACTATACTAAATATCAACTATGGAAAGTTATTCTAAACCCTTACTAGTACTACTACTACTACTACTACTACTACTACTACTACTACTACTACTAATAATAATAATAATAATAATAATAATAATAATAATAATAATAATAATAACAATAATAGTAATAATAATAATAATAATAACAATAATAATACAGTGGCTTACTTTCGCTAAAGCATTTACTTTGGATCCAGAATCAATTAGTAATTTAGTCATTTTCTCATTTCCATCTTGACAAGCTAAATGTAACGGAGTGAAACCATTACGTGATTGTATACTACAACAACCACCATCGACACCACAACCGCCATTATCATTATTATTTTTCTTATTCTTATTATTACTGTCAACAGTAGCTTCAATTAATAATTTGCCAATATCCACTAAATGTTTTTCTGCGGCAATATGCAATGGAATAAAACCATTTTTAGCTTGTGAAACTGGAGATGCCTAAAATTTAAAAAAAAAATAGAGGAGGACAGAAACAATTATACGATTTTTCAAGTAATGTGTTGGTATGTTCGGATGTATAACTACTGAAGAAAAATAAACCTAGATTTATTAAGCCTTTGTAAATACATAATTGTTCAGACTCGTGAGGAATTCTGTAGTATCTTTTATCTAGGTCATATTACAATGCTGAAATTTCGCTGTTATCTAATTGTCTGTTTTCGCTTTTGGTTCACTATTTTTAGCTCAAGATTACATTCGTTATTACGTAAACGAGGTTGTTATAGTGTAATTTTAGACTTCTTTGAATACCAAACAATTTCCGAAAATCCTGATTTCACCCTTTCCCAATGTTAGTGGGAAAGTGTTGTGTATAAATCAGCTGACCTATTTAGTTTTCAGAGATCATGTTCTTATCAAAAGAATCTCTCAGTTGTTTATAATTCGAGATTATCGTAAGTTAAAACCACATATTAGTGATCAAAAAACGAATCAGGAATCGAACAATGAGTAAAGCTTAATCGGTTCTAAAATAACAAATCAAACTATACATATCAATCACAGAATAAAAAAGTTTTGTCACGTACTCTGAAGAAGTGACTTACATTCAGTCACGAAACGTCAGAAATACGATTTTCTACTCATTGGAATATAACAAAAATTATGTTTATTATTAAAAAAGATAGTTGTTCATTTTAGTAAATCACTAGAGTCCTTTTAAACTTAAGCAGTGATTGAGTATCACTATATAGTATTCATGATATGTGAATTGATGTATATTCACAACCACACATACATAGACTAACCTAACTTTATTGGAACTGAAATTTCAGAAGCGTGGATAATGATCATTCAATACTTCTACTATCCTAAATCCTAATGTTTTGAGTATGATATATAAATAAAGACGTCTCAAATGAAAAGCCCTAAATCAAGTTTGTAAAAAAAGATATGAACTTCAGAATTATAAACAGAATTCGATAGTGGGTAACAGTGGAATCAAGGAGGCTCTCTCGTCAGCTGGATGCACTAGCACCCGTGTTAGTGTTCACACGATGACTAGAACCTGGTAGCTTTCGTTTTAAATGATCAGTACGTTTTTAAGTTAGCTACTGAGTCCAGATAAATACTGACTTGAGCAGTCCGATAGACTGCAATTGACCGAATATCCTTTTGGCATACATAGATCCTGTGTGAATTGCCTCGTTATTGCTATCAAGCTACAAACATTTTAACTGCAGTCAGTAACATCAACGAGAACATTTAAAAAAATACCAATACAGATGAATATGGACTTAAGGTTTAGATACATGAAGTATCAACCAAAGAATGTGTCAAGAAGACGAAGCAGAGAGGAATGAAGGTAAATAATTAAGAATTGTCCATGATTAAGTGATTCTGTCAAGTTCCAATTGAGTATAATCAATGATTAAATGCTTTAAATTTTGTTGAAATTCTCGGAGAACTTTGGAAATGTTTGTGAGAAATGTTTAAAACCCGTGATAATGAAAAAGTAAGTCTAAATAATTCTAAAATCTCTATTCTATTCTCATGCCTAAGGTATATTGTTTCAAGACTATAAAAAACTTCTTCACGATTACAAATACACCTAGGATGAGATAGATGTCAACAAATTTAAAATAATTTGGGCTAAAAAACGTTTACTGTAGTGCAGTATACTGTGACCTCTTACATTACTTAGTTTAATAGTTACTATGCAGATAAATCAATCATGTTTAGCAAATTATTTTTACTTGGCAAAAATCAATCATTAAAATGTCACCAATTAAATTGATCAGTTAAAAGATGGTCCTTTTTCAATACCTTATTATTATAATAGTAACAACTAATCAATCCATTAACTAGTAGGAAAAAAGGATATAAAATTGACTATATGAAACTTATTTGTTAAAAGCAGCGTTATAATCAATAAAAGTAACTTTAAGAGCAACGATATTTGAAATGCAGGTAGTCTAAACCAAGTTTCTATTCGCTTATTTTTCTTCATATTCCTAATTAATACAGTTCTTGTCTGACGGTTTATACACACCATTTAGTTAAATCAGCACTTCATTTACGTAGTCAGCGGTTGGACTCAGTCGTGATGGTAGGTAGGTAAAGATTATCTAGTTAGAGTTTACACGATTATCTTAATCAATAGTTTCAGATGTTGGATAAAATGACTCAAGCTCAGACACAATGAAGAATATGCATCCACTCTTTGTCTTCCCTCAAACCTCAGTTTTCGAAACCATCTTCATTATTCCCTCTCGAATCATAGTATCTGTTCCTAACTTCTGCTTCTTCTTCTACTACTGCTTCTGTTTCTACTCCAACTATTCTGGTATCTCACTGTACTGATCTAGTGCCGTAACGTGAGCCAATCCATATATCTCCCAGGTCCTGCAATGTCCATGCCTAACTGACTCTTGTTCAATAAAAACATTTAAAAATAGATTTTGTACATAATCAACTTAGTTATTTGTACGAAAAACCTGTGTCCTGGGTTTAACACCCGTGGATAAGCACTAGGATAGAACAGCTATCCAGTGTTTCCCAGTATTCAGTGATTTTTCAACTAAGATCAGTCCATGATGTTAACTATGAAGTGATATTTAATTGAAATCTACGTGAACATGAAGAAATTGATTGGTTTTATGATTAAGTCACAAGAGAAAGCTATAATATAAAAAACAACTCACCTTATGTTCAAGTAATAATTCAACCATAGGTAAACATCCGTAATGTGTAGCCAAATGTAATGGTGTTAAACCATTACGTCCAACTGCATTCATATCAGCACCGGATAAAAGTAAAAATTTAGCTGTTTCTAAATGCGAATGTTTCACAGCTAAGTGTAATGGAGTGAAACCAGACTACATGATTGTGAATGAAGAGAGATATAAACAAAAACCTTTATTAGTAGTATGGAAAAAGATTTGAGAACATTGTAGAATTTTCGCAGTTCAAATTATGAAATGCTCTTAGTTAGACTAACGTATAAAACCTGGAAGTAAATGATAGTTCGCTCGTCCTAGCATGGGACTCCTCAGCAGATCCTAGGTTCGATCCTCGGATGCCGAGTGGTGAATAGGCACTGCTGAAATGTTTCATATTAATACGAAATGGACGTTCAGTGCTTTCAGGTTTTTAATGGTGATCCAACTAAGAACACTTCGTGATTTATACTGTGGAAACAATTTGTACGAAATTAAAGAAGGAAGTTCAAAATAAATAATAAATTTATTGAAATAAAAAATGACATGTATCAAACAAAATAACCTTTTTTGATCTTTTTTCAAATGTATTTATTCCATTACTACGTTAAGAGGGTAGACTGAGCAATTCTAGTCAAATCTAAGCAACCAAAAATTTTGGGACAACTGGGCATCTGTCCGAGATACCACTACTTTATGTCTTTTTGCACATTAATATGAAATTAATAAAATGAATACCAGGGTAGCAGAATTAATAGGTCTAGTGATAACGAAAATGGTTAAACATAAAGATTCTGAGTGGAGAAAAAAGAATGAACCCTCAGAACAAAAAGTATGAAATCTTATTGAAACTCTGGATCTACGAGTAAACTAGGAGTAAATGGACTTAAACTGCCATGACTGACTCCAACCACTGATCGGAACAATCAAGCGGACCGCAACTAAATATTCTGTACATACTCATGATCTATGGGAGAGCTATGAATAGACATTATCGAGGCTTTTCGAACTATGTTTGAAAACAACTGTTAAATGATTCCTATTTTCTATACACAGCATATTTATAAAGTAAACATTAAATTACTTATAATTCAGATCATCATTACCAAAAACTCTCGAAGCGAGAGTGTACTGAACAATTGGTTCGCCTGAATATGGAACAGTTCGGCAGCACATAAATGCTATCGTACTCAGGACCTTCAGGTTTCCGACCAACTGCTCAACCTTTAGGCAGACAAGTCAGCGTGATGTAGACGATAGGATTCAACCATTTCCATAAACCTCTTACACAAACATTAATCCGTTTAAGCAAAGATGTATGGTGGCAAGCAGTGGAATCAAGGATGCGCGTTCCATCCGTTTGGGAATCGTCAGTTGGATGTCCCTACATCCCAGAGTTGATGTTCACTCTAGGACTCGAACCTATAACCTTTCGCTTCAAACGCCATTGTGTTATCCACTTAGCTACAGGTACACCAGGTTGACGAGTCCCAGAGAGGACGAAACGCACGTCCTGAATTTTACCGCAAACCATCATCCATTTCGCTTATAATACTTTAGATTTAAGGTAATATCGAGGCAATCCACAAAGAATGCACATATGCAAATAAGAGACTGATCAATTGCAGTCCTAAACATTATTGGGAAGATTCAAACAAACAGTACAAAATGTAATTAAAAAAGCACATTTTAAATCATTATCAAGAATATAGAGAAATATGAAACCAATATCCTAAAACTGATAACAACTAAAGAGGGCTCGTCATAACAATTCCTTTGAGTATTTTCCCCATAGATACCAATTCGATCATCTTTATTTCTGAATTATTGTATTCAAGTATCCATTACGTTTATTAGGAAAGTAACATAAATTGAAAATAAACTACAAAATGCACAGTCAGGTTGCGTAAATTCTTTTATAATAAGATAAAGATAAATAAACCAAAATGAATACTGGACAGTTATTTCTTTCTTGTGTTATTTAATTTTACCACAACAAAAATGTTTGATAACATATATAAACGGGAAATACAGCATAACTGTTAATTTCATGATTGGTGTGCAGGCCATAATAATACCAGAACACTTTGGATAATTTGACCCGGAATTTCAATCCACAAGATAATGTGTTTATATCAGAATGATTTTTTTTATTTGAACACATATATATTGGTACAGGAGTGCGCCAAATATATATGCGCCACACAATTTCAGTTCATTAATTGCGTGTGGGCTGCGATACTGCTCGGGTGCCCAGACCGAAGCAGGTGGGCCACACCCCGAGCCTTTGACCTAAAGGTCTAACCCACAAGACAGTGGAGCATCGTAAGGAGATGCAGTCCCATGGTAGCCGGTGACCGAAAATTGGTTCATACGCCATTTGTTCCCGCAGGATACTGGTGCCCATGTGCACCACAGATTTGGAATCCGGTTAAAGCGCCGGACATTCGCTTTTCGTCCTCTCATTTTCGTAAACAACACCCCCGCCACAAGAAGGCAGTGAGTAGGACTTCCCTGGCAGAGTCTGTATCCATTTTGATGGTAGCCAGTGACTAAAATAGGTGCATACACAACTCGTTCGTCTAACATTCTAAAGACCACGTCCACTATCGGTTTGAAATCAAGGTTTCTCAATTGATCAATTACTTGTGTGAACCGGACATTGGTTTTCACTTTCTCATGTCCGTGTTAATATTGCCCTACCTCAAGTAAACAGAGTGTATGATCTTTCCTCACTATGGAGGATATAAACGATCGGCTTATCAATTCCCATTCAGGGTTCCTCGTGTGAACCATTCACACCATTAGAATCTAGCATGTTGTCATTTACAGACATAGTCAAAGATAATATTTATAGTTAAATAAATTAAAATATTTTATAATAAACAATAATATTCAATTACCTTCGTTGTTATTTCTAATTCTGCTCCATTTTTTAATAATAATTCACATATCTCTTTATGATTACCTTTTGCAGCTAAATGTAATGCTGTATAAGTATCTTTGGTTGAACACTGTACATTAGCAGCATATTCCAATAGTAATGTGACTAATTCTAAATTACCAATACGTGATGCTATATGAAGTGGTGTCTGGTTGCCCTGATTTTACAAATAATTAGGAAGAGAGAGGAAGAGAAAGATGAATAAAGGAGAAGAGAAAAGGATGATTTATTGATCTTTTCTCATTAATCATCTATGAAAAAACAATATTACTGTGCATTTTTCAATTAATAAGTAACACTTGTTCTATAACAGCAACATTTGATTGAAAACTAAGATTTTGAAGGATGTAATCAGTTTAATTTCATAGTTTACTTCATGAATTGATTTCAGTTAAACAATCGTTGAAAACTAGTTAGCACTGATTGAACCAGTGACTAGTGGAATTCAACTGTATCGAGTGTCAGACAATCTCCCACTAATATCACTGGGAAATGGTCACGTGAAATCATGAATTGAATGAAAATAGATATGCAATCAATTGAATTCCAACTCAGTAGTTCCGATGTGAAATGCTCGCGGTGAGAACTGAAAATTCTGAGTTTGATCCCTGGTGTGGTTGTAGAGAAACAGTGTTAGGAAGTCTCATATACGAAAGAGACAGCTATATAGTGCTTAGTGGTTTTCACTAACTGTTTAATTGAAGTCAATTAGTTAGTTCAACTATAAAATTCAATAATCTACACAAATCCCTTACGCTGATAAAAGTCTTTTTGATGCTGAACGAACAGTTTGCCACATTTTTGAACCCATCACACTAGAAAATAAACGATCTTGTAGCTGGAATGTTCTGTAACAAGTATTAGATGATATTTGATAAGAAGACATTTTTTCAAACATCTTGAAGCAATATCTCAAATTTAAATGATGAGATTCAATGATCTCTGAGAACTAATACGAAGAGGCAGTTGATAATTGAATTCGAATTATATGTTAGTTCACTTACCACAGTTTAATTGAATAGATTATGTTTATGGTTTGAAACTAAAATCACAATAATCTGTTTTCTTATTGTAGAAGAATATGTTCACATACATGAATTAAGTAGTAAACAGTTAAGAACTTTACTTATCATCAAAAACAACCAGAGATTAAATGACGACTTTATCACAAAACACAAAGTAAACTCTCTTTTTGTTTACAAACTCTAAGGGTAAGAGCATAGATTTGGATTAAGACCTGTAGGTTTATGGACACGGTGCTATATATGTTCATGATTATGAAATGAACAGAAATTCCTAAGCTTTGAAGAAATAACTATACAATGCTTACTATTGGTAATTCCAGCATTTTTAAGTCGGAAAAAACATCAAACAAAAGAATAAATAATAATGATTTATTGGTAATAATTTTGTGAACTGTGACTTATTTGACAGTATTAAAACATTATTTTATTACGTCTATATTACATGGGAAACAAATCTAATACGTGATATAAACGTATACATTTTAGCATAAGTTTTGTTCCATAAACGGAAAAAGACAATACATAATATTGAATAATATAAGTATCAATACTACGGTTGAACTTGATCATTTCAAATAAGTTGAGTATTGGGTAGAGAGTTAATCATAAATTCATTTTTGTCATATCCCAATGAGTAGAAAAATTATATTTCTGACGTTTCATGATTTAATGCAAGTCACTTTTTCAGCGTAAATAAATAACTGAAATAATCATTATTATTGAATAATATATAGTTGAGATTCAGATTTGATAAAAATGAAATCATTGATTATTTAACGAATTCCATACTGGTTTTATTAAACAATTATCGGTGTTCCTCTCACTTATATAAACTAGTCTCTTAAAAATACATTGAAACATTTCATTACAAAAATAGTGGATCAGTTTCATTCAATTAATTATATAACTTACTCTAGCTTTCACATCCACTTGAGCACCATTACGTAAGAGTAAACGAGCTACATCAGTTTGTCCAGCACGTGTTGCCAAGTGTAAACTAGTTTCACAACGTACAGTTGGTGCATTTGCATTAGCACCATGTTGTAATAATAAAACGGCAATATTTAGATGCCCCATGAAACATGCAACGTGTAACGGTGTTAAACCAGACTAAAATGAAAATAAATACTGAAGTGGTATAATAATGCAATGATATAACAAACAAAAGTACAGTCCCATTAGTTTTTTCTGTGATCTTTAATGCCATCTTTTAATAATTATTTGCCATCTGATTATATTTTGAATAAAAATGACACTTTTAATTGGCTGAAGTCTATTCAGCTAACTGACTGATAACCTTAATATGTGAAATTAAATTCCATGGATGTTTTGGCCATCTTATTCATAAGAGTATTTTATTATTTGATTTTGCCACCATAGATATGGATATCATCAATCGATCAGAATAATATTCATTCATTTTAATAACCGAAAATTCTCCCGTAAAATCATCAAACACAAATTCGCAATACGTTCACGCATGAAGTCAGTATTCTCAAGGGTCAGTGCCCATATGGAGTCAACCAATTAAGGAATGAGGCAGTAAATAGCTAGTGACAATCATTGATGACCATGGAATACAACAGATCAACCGAAGTTAGACCATTGAACATATACTCAATGGTGATTGGATGATTTGGTTTTCTTCATGAAACATGAATGATGCGAGTTCAGTTCAATGTAGGTGGACATATGTGTACTCTACTAAATAGCACCAGATAACTTCAATTAAATATTTGCTCAGTGCTACTTGATGATAAATGGTTCTCTAGTTGATGCTAGTCATTCGGTGGTGTTTTGTTCCTCGTGCCAGAGGGTTTGGTTACAAAGCTCTCATTGCCATTATGAAATAGCATCGGAGTAGGCATGAAGTAGGGGCTGATTTTGGCCAGGACGACAATGAGATCTCTTCAGTGAAACTGTCTGGTTCAGAGAACACAACACCACCAAATGCATCTACCTGAGTTACAAATCTTCATAATGTCAGCCACTGTTGAAAAATTTGCCTCGACAAAATTTACATAATTGAATAAGTAAGTAGAAAAGAATTATTTTTTATAACTCACCTCTGTTGTAGCTTGAATCAAACAATTATATTTTAATAACAGTTCAACAATTTTAATTCGATTTTTTTGACATGCAATATGTAAAGGTGTAAATCCATTCTAACAAAGCAAAAGAGGAAAATAATAAAACTTTTAATTATTAAAGACTTTTCTTTATTCATAAACGTAGTTATTAGTTGCTACGTATTAATTGTAGCAGTATTGTTATACACCATGAAGCTCTAGATTGTTGTTTAGTCCCAGTATGGGACTTCTTACACCCACAACCCAGTCAGGAACCTAAATCAAGAACTTCATAGGTTTCCCATTAAATGCTTAACATCTAAACCATCTGTTTAAGATCCAGTAATACACATTTCTGACTGCAATCAATCCAGAATGTAATTTGGCCATCGTATATTATTAATATTTCATCAGAGTATGCTAACCAATGACTAACTTCAAAATGGATCTTCAAAATTATAATGAGAAGTTTCAACTGATGAATTTCAAAAATTCCGAAAATGAGTGAGTAATTAATGATGATATTAGATGAATGTAACGCAATACAAAGAATCAAGTAGTGTTTTAAATACAAACAATTAATTTTCCACTTAAATGTGAAATGTTACTACAATTGATCCTAAACCGCTAGGTGCTTGGCTAAAAGTTATAAGGAAAAATGCTGATACACTACAGAAAAAACCTTGAACTAATATAACACAATTGTCAAATACCCTGCCAATTTTAAGCAGCTTAGCAGATAATATCAATCTGCAATGAAATTTCCATGTATATATAAAACTGAGATGCAAATACTAGCGAGTGATTCTTTCAGGTACACATGTTATTACCATGCAGCTTAAAAGCTCTCTATTTGAATGTCAATTCAAAATAATTCAACTGTATCACACAATTAAATTCTACTTACACTAAAATTAGTGCTTCTAAAAAAATCTTGTTTACTCACTAAAACTAATGAAAATGCCTAGCCAAGAAAATTTATAAAAGGAACACTAGTAACAGCATTATTGATGAATAAAGAGATACTAATTAATTCAAAGAAAAAAAAGAAAATAATCAAGATGAAATTGAATAAAACCATTTTAATATAGAGTTCTGATGAATTTAAGATTTTAGGACCTTACTTTCGAGTTATACCAGTTATTGTTCATGTACTAGAAACCCTACTTCTATCCAATCACTTAAAAAGAAATATTCTAGTAAGAAAGAATATGAATTCATGAGGTAATAACTAACATTTCAACGCCGAAATCAACTATTACTAAGACAGTTTTATTTATGTGCCGGGACTAAGTTCGAGGAGTTGAAGTATAAAATAGAAAATAATCCATATTACGTAAGAGATAGTTATTAGTACTGTGTGATCTAGTTAATAACTCTTCTGAAACCTGAATCAAATAGTATTCTTATTTATTCTCATTAAGATTCAGCTAAGGATAAACAATTTAAATTCCGATGGTTACTGACAATTACAATCAGAAATACAATTAAAATAGTGACAATAATAATCTGGCGGTCTGCCTGAATATCTCGGCTACCTGTTCCTCCCATCTAGATATTTCAACAAGTTATCTGTATTTTTTTGTTTATTTTAATAAATCATTATGCCCATTAGTCTCATAACTTATTCAGCTGCTTTTGTGAAACGTTTACAACCATTCTCTGTACAAGTTACAAAAATGTACAATCGGAAACATAGTGACGACTGGCAATATGCACTGAAATGTTAATATCTAACTGGCAATCACTCAATATTTATCCCAAGGATCGATCAAAAAATAAGAAACGGAAAGTTGTTGAAATACTCTGTGCTGAGAATTTTATTCTGTACCAAAAAAATAATATTGAATAAACCCATTAATAATAATAATAAACAAATAAATTTCACTGATTTAAATCATGAGTCAATTGAAGCTAGACCACCATGGAAAGCCTGGAAGCACTGGGCGGCCGTTTCGTCCTAGTATGGGAGTCCTCAGCAGTGCGCATCCACGACCTCGCCCCCTGCAAGACTCGAACCCAGGACCTACTGGTTTCGCGCGCAAGCACTTAACCACTAGACCACTGGGCCGGCATCCAACGCTGTTAATGTCTAACTTTAACCAATCCATGAAGTTGCGCCACTGTACACCATTGTCTTCAGTGAGTTGATATCTCACAACCAACCTGGTTGAAATCCACGGGTAACGACTTCTCACTAGAACTCCAGGAGTGCCTCTTGAGGTCAGTCACTAGTGAGCAGATGATTATTATCAGAAGGGGTTTTGTGGAGATTTTAGAAATTTCCATGGTGGTCTAGCTTCAATTGACTCATAATTTCAACCAGTGAAATTTCTAAAATCTGAACAAAACCCCTTCTGAAAATAAATAAATAACAAAAAGTCATCTATGAACAATGTTTATAGACTAGAAAAGGTCAACCAATTAAAAAGTACAAGCTAGAATTCATGCCACTCAGTATCACCAAAAGATAAACTGTAAATAAAATGAAACATATGTATCACCCCCATTTTTTCTTATTGATATATGCAAGTACATAAAATCGAATACCAATGTTTTCCTTTAGATGAATAATTCACACGACTGTGAAAAATAAGCACTTCACAGGATAACTGGAAATTTTTTGTCAGATTATGATAGGAAAGAAATAATAATGATATTCATAATAATAAAAGTATTATACATTTAATATCCTTTGTCCTAACCTACCAATTGCAAATTGTTTGAGGTCAAGTGAAACAAGAATATGTTTCTGACCGTGGGAAGTGACAAAAAAATCTATATTAATCATATCTTATAATATCCAAAAGAGATATTCGTATCTATTACAATCATTAAATGTGAAAATCAAATTTCTTGATTTGGTATTTATCGCAGAATAACATCAGCTAAAGAATCACTGAAAACCAAGAATTAGTAGATAGTTGTGTGAGGTGGTTAGAGATAGTCGATAAAAAATCCCAAACCTACGTTTCGTGTTATTTGGAACAATTCAGCAAGTAATACCTGTGACCTGCAGGAAACGAATGATCCCATTGGGATTTTAACTTGAATCACCCAGCTTCATAGTATGAGATATTATCACAAAGCTATTTGGACAATGACTTTCTTCCTGTGAGGCTGAGATAATTATGACTGGTCACTGAGTAGTGGCCAATGTTATGATCGTCTTGTCCTTTAACACCGATCGACCAAATTGTTACGTGGCCACTCGATCAACTAATTATACAGACAGTTATTTTGTTCTACGTTGGGACAATGTTAAGATACATACCCTCAAATAAGACTAAGAATGAACTTCAAAAAAACTTCAAGTTTCATATCAAATACGTTAAATGTAGAACAATGAATTTTAATTCTGTGGTTCAAAATTTTTCAATTAATTTGTGATACAATGAGATCTTTCTAACAATGTCACCATTCAGTTACGGTCTCATCGCTAAACAAGTTTACCTTATAAGTCAGAGTTTCATTGTAATATCGCTTCTTTATTTTGTAGTTAATGAATATCAATCTATAGTAGAATTAGTTTGGGACAAAGATCATCTGTAAACTCGAGAAAACATTTTCACAAAACCACCATTTATGAAAAAATATATTTTTTAATATAACCTGAATAATTCTTAGTCTGCTATGAAGTTCTAAAGGTAAATCAATATTCCTAGTCATGTATAACAATTTATAATTTTAACTATTCTCCCTTGTCTACATATCCCATTCACAATGCTGTTTATATTTTATTCATCTGTCAGTGGTACATTAAAGTAAATAACTGAAGTGTAACTAGATTAAAATATAGATAAGTTATTTAAGCTAGAAATTCAACAGATAAACGGTGCATAACACTTCAAATCATACACACACAGGCACGCATGAATTATTTAATAATGCTTGGGAGTACGATAGTAACACTAGGAAGTGGGGCAGAAAGAAATAAGAATATAAACATAAAAAATCCAAAACTTATCAGGATAGTCGGCTTACAATGCAATCTTGGGCGTAACAGAATTAGTTTGACTTGAATCAGCATAGCGTTGATTAAATGATTAAATAATACCAGTATATATGGGCAACAAGGTAAAGAAAAAAGTACTAAAGAGGACATATATATATATATATATATATATCCAAATATACTACTGTAGTGTAAACAACAATCTTTGTTTTCTTTCATGTTTTTTTTTAGAAATTATATAACTTAAAGAGTGATTATAAGCACTCAGCTAACTATTATGAGTTAAGAACTACTACTTAAAAAATAAGGTAAGTAATAGAAGTGGTTGTATTAAAATCAATCAGTATTTTTTCAAATATTTAATGTGATATTTTTAATTGGCATTTCTTACAAAAAAACGCACCCTACTTCAAAGGATTTATACGATTGTATAGACTGAAAGGACTGAAGTAAGATAGGATTGTACATTGAGAAAAAACTATAAACTCATATAGTGAGATGTCACTGAATTTATTAATCTGTAGTATAGAGTATTAAAATAATGTAATCATTTTAATTTTGAATAAATAAATCTTAGTATAAAACGTTAGAGGAGATTGTTGAGTTTCATAGTTTGAATCATCAGTCGATTTCGATTAGACAATCACTAAAAGCTGGAATGCACTAGACAATTATGTTATCCATTTTCAACAATCCGTACCTGCGACCCTACCGGAGATCATACCCTACACTTTCAAGTCTCTCAGAAAACTCTTAGTCTCTAGACCATTGTGATGGTATTCTGTGATTTATATTTGTAGCTTCAAATAATTTGCGATACTGAACAACCTTCTATCAATTTCACTAGTAGTTAGCCGGTACATACCCAAAATGGTTGAACTCGATTGGTCATGGCTTCTGATTATGACCCAGAGAATTATTTCTCAAAATTGGTCAACAATTAGTGTACAAATTGTTATTTAGGATTGAATTGTATATCATTTCTTTCTCACTCAAATCAGAGTAGTGAATAGATTATTTTGATAGTTAACCGGAATTAGTTGTACTCTTCTAAAACAAGTTTAAACAATATACTACTTTAATACACATATATGCATATATAAATAAGAAATATTCTTTCCAACAAATTCTCATCAGGTTC